AAGCTCAGTGACTGCAAAGCCAAGGGGACTGGGCCGAGTGAGGAAGGGGAGATGAAGTCCAAGTGCCCACCTTATTCTGTTAGCAGGTGGCTACCTGGATTTACTAGACACCACAAAGCTAACCCAATAAGCAAGTACATTATATAGTTCTCCCTGGTATCCATAGGGAATTGGCTCCAGAAACCCCTCAGGTACCAGAATCCCTGGGTGCTCATGCGCCTTCTGTCAGTGTCATGGTGTTTGTGTATAACCTGTTCTCATCCTCCTATTCACTTGACAACATCTCTAGATGACCAAGGATAACTAACCCAGTGCAAATGCTATGTAAATGGTTGCTATACTCTATTGTTTAGGGAATAATGGCAATATATTACAGTACAGATGCAATGTGGTTTTTTTCATCTTTGTTTTCATTGTTATTTGAAAGGCAGAAAGAGAGAGAAAAAGAGAACGAGGTCTTCTATCCACTGCCCCACTCCTCCAAATGCCTGCAAAAGCGAGGGCTGGGCCAGGCTAAAGCCAGGATCCTAGAACTCCATCCACATCTCCTAAATGTGGCAGGGACCCAAGGACTTGATCCAGACTCAGAGATAATAATAATGGCCCATCAGCAGAACTGAAGATACCATAAGAGGAGGGTGAGAAGCCCCTTCATAAAGCTTTGGAGATTAAGGGCAGTGGGAAAGTTCTGAAAGGTTTTTAAGTAGGTGACTATTAGTTTGGGGGCTTATTTTATTTGCACTTTGTTTATTTGAGAGGCAGAGAAAAATGAGAGAGAGAGAAAGAGACAAAGAGAGAGACATAGAGCTCCCATCTGTTGATTCACTCCCCAAATGCCTATGATGGCTGAGGCTTGGCTAGGACTGGAGCCAGAACTACGAACTCAATTCAGGTCGTCCATGTGTGTGGCAGGGAACCAATTACTTGAGCTGTCACCTGCTGCCTCCCAACTGCTACCTCTCATCAGAGAGGTATTATCAAAGAAATAGTATTATCAAAGAGATAATGTAGAAGTATGTAGAGGGGCCGGTGCTGTGGTGCAGTGGGTTAATGCCCTGGCCTGAAGCGCCAGCATCCCATGTGGGTGCCAGTTCGAGACCCGGCTGCTCCACTTCTGATCCAGCTCTGTGCTATGGCCTGGGAAAGCAGTAGAAGATGGCCCAAGTCCTTGGGCCTCTGCACCCATGTGGGAGAACCAGAAGAAGCTCCTGACTCCTGACTTTGGATTGGCTCAGCCGTTGCGGCCATCTGGGGAGTGAACCATCAGAAAGACCTACCTCTCTCTCTCTCTCTCTCTCTCTCTCTCTCTCTCTCTGTCTCTCTCTCTGTGTATGTGTAACTCTGACTTTCAAATAAAAATTAATAATAAACATTCTGAAGGCAAACATCTGAAATTGCCTTTATATAAAAAAAAGAAGTATGTAGAAAACTAGGGTCAGGGACCAGAGCCAGTTATGGAAACCAGGCACATCCCTGTGGGACACAGGTGTCTTAACTGCTATGCTAAAGGTCTGCTTCCAGTCTGGGGTTTTTAAATCTGCAGTGTAATAATAATATTCAAAGGTTTCAGTGTCATACGCGTACATGCTGACTACATTATGAGGGGTTCCATAGGAATGGAGAAAGTAGCCAACCACAGACCCAAACCATTTCATGTGTTTTGTCTCTAAACAGCTGAATAATACAGACCCTTGGACAATTAAAGCAGCTGTGCTGTGCCACTGCTGCAGCCTCGTGATGGCAGACCATTTGTGTTGCAAGGCTTCAGCCTCCTCTGTGGGCCTCGTGTGAATACAGGCAGCAGCGGTGCTGGCATGAGCAGGCATAAACCAACACACCGCAAAAACAATATTAGAAATGGGACAGAAATAAATACTCCACGTCATGCATTAGCCAATAATAAAGAAGCTCTCCCTGATTCTTGTGATTATACCTGGAAGGAGGAATTAAATAACAGGAAGGCTGGAATGATGGTTAGCAAATACAACCTTAAAAAAAAAAAAAAAACCCTTTGGCTCATTTCATTTGGAATGTGTGCGAGTTATCAGGACAATACCATCAGGGAATGAGAGTAAGAATCTAATAAATCAACATCTAAACATCAGGTCAGTAGTAAAAACAAAATATAAAGGGAAAAGTAGCAAAACCTCCAGTGTTTGCAGAACTTAATGGCAATATGTTTATCCAAGTACATGTCAATGTGTGTCTATGCAGATATGCTAATTCTTACCTGCCTGTCAGTGAGGCATCAACTTTTGTGTGTGTGTGTGTGTGTGTGTGTGTGTGGCACTGTGTGATTCTCTAAGAACCTGATGAGTTTCTTTGAGAGAGAAGTAGCAGCCCAATCTAGCTCAGCTGTACTCAATCTGAGTTGCTTTCCTACCTACAAACCCTCACTTCAAAGCAAGGAACATAATGTACAATTTTTTAATGGCTCTAGACCCAGGCACTCAGACTCTCTGCTCTGCGCCTTACCTCAGTGTAAACACCTAATCAAGATTGCCTGCGCTTCAACAATAGCAGCCAAATGCAATTCGAGAACCATAAGCCTTTGAAGTCCTCCCTGCAAAGGCCGGTTTTCTAGTCTGGGATAATGACGGGCCATGATTGCTTGTCTTTGTTGTATCTTTTCAGTAGAGAAGCAATTATAGGCCCCAATTTAACAGAATAGACATTACACAGCTTATGATGCTCAAAATGCAATTTCATTTGATCATTTTCTCGATTTGATTGGTATTAATAGAATGGCTCACAAAAAAAAAAAAATAGCTGGCAGAGGTTGTGTCCCATTCCACTTTCAAAGAGATAATGTAGAAGTATGCTTTACTTGCCCGGATACTCTCACCAGGGTGATGCAGCCACCCAGTTCCACCAAAATAGCCTGTGGGTGGAAATATTGTACATTCTACATTCTCTGGGAAAGGAAACATGAGACACTGTATTCTTAATTTGTAAACTTTTTACCTGGGCTGTATAGGAGAGCGTATCACTGTCAATCGAACAGTTAATATAAACTAGCTGAGCCGGGGTGTTTATTTCCTTTATTTCCTAGGTGTTTATGAAAGTCAGGGAATCCTCATGCCAGTGGCAGGTGTATGAAAGAGCTCAGCTTCACTGTCCCCCAGCCGCCGGACAACAGTGCCTGCACCACGTTGCCTCTCGGCGGCTTACAGGAGGATTATTTCCTTGCCTGCTTAGCCGTCTTGGCTGTTTCACTCTCTTGATCTTCATGTCTTCCTCCAGGACAGAGTGTTTTGCTTTGAACGAGCTTGTGTTTAACATTATGGTAATTAGAAATCCATACCTTTTGCAACCATGGAGGCAGAAGTCGTCAAACGTGACACTTTGGCGGTGGCCTTGTGTTTCTGGAAGCAGCACTGTGAGAGGGACTGAGCCATGATGGGGATGTGAGAGATGGTTCCCGACCTTGAGCAGCAGTGCTTAGAGTGCTCAGCTTTCCGTTACAGCACAGGTTCAACTGTGTAAGGGCGTGAGGTTTTCCCATTCTCAGAGTGGGTGAGTCACTCGAAGCCTGGTGATTACTGCCATTAATAATCAAAAGGATTCCAGAATCCCATAGGTCAGTTTCATTCCTTGTTTTAGGAGTGAAAATGCAGGCAAAAAGTTTATTTTCATTTTTTTCCGATTTTCAGGTCAACTTTGGGGTGTAAGTCCACAGCATCTATTCAGCTTGTTTACTTGCATTGTGTGTGAGTGTGTGTGCATGTGTGTGTGTGTGTGTACAGTAATCATGATCCCTACTTCAAGAGTAGAGGTAGTTAGTTCAAGTAGGCATAATGTTCCACCCAAACTCAACGAATGTCTCATTTGTGCTACAGAAGTCTCGCTGAGTGTCAAAGAATGAAATTAACCTCATTGACAAACATTTATTTGTCACTTAGTATTTTTTAATTAGAGGCAGAGAGACAGAGAAAGGTAGAGACAGATGGACAGAGAGAGCTCCCCAAATGCCCACTAACAGCCAAGGCTTGGCTGAAGTCAGGAGCTGGGACGCAATCCAGGTCTCCCATATGGGTGGCAGGGACCCCATCACTTGGGCCGTCTCCACTGCCTTCCAGGGTGTGGATAAGGAAGAAGCTGGAATTGGGAGCCTGAACTAAGCACTGAACTTAGACGCTCTGTTGTGGGGTGCTCATGTCCTAGCTGGCATCTTAACCACTATGCTAAATTCCTGCCCCATCACTTAACGTTGAACACATATTTTTATCTCTTTCTGAAGTGAATATTAGTCCTCAGAGGTATGAAGCAAAAGTAGACAGCAGAGGGAGAATGTGAACGCGATCATGACAGATTCCAGACCCTGCGTTCTTTCTAGTCTTACACCCCTCCCCTCGTCACATTACACAGCCTGCAGTAGAAAATCCCAAATCTAAATTTTAGAACTAATCACATCAGTTCAGAAAGGGAGAGACATGACAGCATTCACAGGTGGTGAACCAGAGTGTGGAATGGTGAAGAAACACTGAGATGGCTCCTCTAAATAAGAGACAGCTTGGGAAAGACACCTGTGTCAGCCTCTGCCAGTGCAGCGCTGTGGTCAGAACGCAGAACTGACCTAATCTGTGTGACTGCAGAGGGCAGAGCAATAGAAAACGCAGAAAGGCGAATTTTTGTTGTATAAGGAAGAGCTGTCTGGCATTGCGCTCTCATTGGCCTGATCACAAGTTACCCACAGCATCTAGCTCCAATTACTGTTTTAAGACTGGGTCCCTTGAGGGTGTATCAAGCATTTAAATGAAGTAGTCGTTTAACCTCCAAGCACCAGTTTCCCTACACCTGCAAGAGAAAACATTGTTTATTCTCATCTTTTTGGGGGCCAGATCTGGGCCCTGAGAGCTGAAGACATGAGTCCTTGGGATGAAGTAAAAACAAAGCCCCACCCTGCAGGACCTCTGTCTGGAATGCACAGACTTAATGCCCCATGGCTGTCAGACAAGAATGGATCCAGTTAACATGCTCTATGTGTTTTCCCCTCTTAGGTCTCCCACCCGGCCAGGGGAACGGAGAAGACGCCTGTTCAAAACGCCAAGGAGAGTGAGCCTGCTGCCATCGATCCCGAAGACAAATGGCATCAAAGAGCACAACAGCTAAAGGTCACCCGCTAAATTGCATTTTAAGTGTGTTGCAAGCAATACTGCTGAATATAAGCAATGTCCATGACTGAGTTACTTAAGGGTTTATTTTTATGCCTAAGAACAGTTACTCAGCTTCCTGTGGCTAAGACTGGCCTCTGCCCAGAGGAGCCATTGCTTGCTCGGCCAGCCAACCCTGCCTGTTTCTCCGAAGGCCCTGTTTCCTAGAAGAATAGCATCGTATCGCACTTCAGACACAGGGAACATTGCTCACATGAGAGCAGAATGCAGGAAGAGTCCCAGTTTTAGGATTGTCCAAATGTCCCAAGTCCATTTCCTTTGTGGGTTGCCAGTTGTGTTATTATCCCAAGGAGACAGGGACACGACCCCAAAAAGTAGATGGGATACTCAGAGCCTCACTGAGCCATCACTGACAGGATATAAAAGCTTACCAGCGGTCATTGGCATGATCGCATCCTTTTTGGCCATGGGTTTACTGCTTTGAAACCATAAATGTGATTTTAGGGAAGATTTTTTTGGAAATTGTTCCTACTGACTATTTTTCTTAAAAAAAAAAAAGGAAAAAGCACTAGAAGCTGCTTTCTCCTTGAACCAGTGTGTGGAGTCCCGTAGAATCACTCCTGGGCCTGGTTTTATCCGTGCTTGAGAAGGGATGACCCTGTGACATCACCGAGTCTAGAGCCTGTTGACATCATCCGTTAAAACCATGTACAGAGGTAAACGTGTTAATAAAAGCAATACAGTTCACCCCCACCGAAGTGGGACAGCCCAGCTCTTGTCCTCGGTGGTGGCCTCCAAGCCACCCTCAGCATTGCCAAAAAGGGGAGGTGGTGAGGAGAAAGGAAGGAGTAAAAGCAGTCATTCAGCCAAAGCTTCCTGAAGGCTGATACCAGAGAGGCCACCCCCAGAAACTGAGAGGAGGAGGACATCTCGTGGCAGGGGGTGTGGAGGACTGGATGTACTAGCAGACCCCAGAGAGAACCCCTGGGGCTCAGCCAACAGGATCCAGAGGACGAAGAAAACACTCTATGACCTGTTGTGTGTTGTTGGCCATGACTTGAATTTCTGGGCCTTGACCTGCCTTGTACTGGTTGCCAGACTCAACCTCTTCCAAGTCGTAAGGTGGTCTTCTTCCTCCTCCTCCCCTTCCTCCCTACCCTCCTCCCCCCCCCTTCTTTTTTTAAGATCTATTTTATTTATTTGAAAGACAAAGCTACAATTGAGAGACAAAGAGAGAGAGGTCTTCCATCTGCTGGTTCACTCCCCAAATGGCCACAGCAGCTGGAGCTAAGCCAATCCAAAGCCAGGAGCCAGGAGCTTCTTCCCGGTCTCCCCCATGCATGCAGGACTTGAGCCATCCTCTGCTGCTTTCCCAGGCACATTTTCAGGGAGCTGGATCAGAAGTGGAGCAGCTGGGACTCCATCCAGCACCCATGTGGGATGCCGGCACTGCAGGCTGGGGCTTTAACCTGTTGCACCATAGATCCAGCCCCGGGTTCTTCCTTATTAAATGAAGGCTGGCCTAAATGACCTTGTAGATCCATCCCAATTGTAAAGTACCATGATTCTATGATCACTTATTTCTAGTTATTTAGGTTATTATAGAAAGCACCTTTGAAGCATTGTTGCAATCAGTTGCTTTCATAATTGTCACTAAGGAAAATCATAGGTTGCCCAATGATAAAATAATCAGGGTAGGGGCTGGCGCTGTGGCACAGCAGGTTAATGCCCTGGCCTGAAGCGCCGGCATCCCCTATGGGAGCCGGTTCTAGTCCCAGCTGCTCCACTTCTGATCCAGCTCTCTGCTATGGCCAGCTCTCTGCTATGGCCTGGGAAAGTAGTAGAAGATGCCCCAAGTCCTTGGGCCCCTGCACCCACGTGGGAGACCTGTAGGAAGCTCCTGGCTCCTGGCTTCGGATCAGCACAGCTCCAGCCGTTGGCAGCCATCTGGAGAGTGAACCAGCAGATGGAAGACCCCTCTCTCTATCTCTACCTCTCTCTCTGTAACTGTCTTTCAAATAAATAAAATAAATCTTTAAAAAAATAATAATCAGGGTGAAATCACAGTGCTTGATTTATGCTGTGCCCTTAGAGGCAGTAAAAACTTCATGTGGCCACAGATCAGGAGAAAGCCAATAGAGTGCTTGTTAGGCTCTGTGTGTCCCAAGTACTCTGATTAGTGTGTTTATCACTCACTCCTGAGTGAAGCCAAAGTGGAAGAAGAGTTGAAAAGATTGTGAGACCTGCAGTGACCAACGCACAGTGGCCAAGGCGGGGTCCCCTCTCTCTCTTCAGGCAGGATTTGTTCACAGCCCACATCCTAATGCTGGCTAAGCCCTGGGCCAACTGCAGGCTGTGTTTCTTCTTCCACTTGCAGTAACCATATTTGATGCTTTCTCTTTGATCTTTCTCCTCCTCAAGTGTCACCTCCTGCAAGATTTCTTAGCCTTTCCCAGTCCTTTTCTATACTCCTCTTTCAGCTGCTGCTGTGTCTGGCATACCCCACCCACCCTGCCCTGTTTCAGTAGCTGCTGCCTGTGTTTCTTTTAAATCAACTACACTAGAAGATTCTTAAAGGTTGGGATGGTATCTTTTTCCTACATCCCCTACCACAGTGCTTTGTCCAAAGCTGGTGCTCAGTAAATACTCTGGGCAGGCATTTGGCACAGCAGGTGTGGCACCATTGGGGATGTCTGCATCCCTTCTTGGAGCGCCTAGTCCAAGACCTGGCTCCTCTGCTTCCCATCCAGCTTCCTGCTAATGTGCACCCTGGGCAGTAGCAGATGATAGTCCAAGGGCTTGTGCCCCTGCCACCCATGTGGGAGACATATATTGAGATCCAGACTCTCAGTTTCAGCCTGACCTAGCCCTGACTGTTGCAGGCTTTTGGGGAGCTAAGCAGCAGATGGAAGATCTCTCATCTCTCTGCTTTCAAACAAAATGAAAATAATTTTTAAAAAATTTGGTAAATACATATCTACCCATTGACTAAAGAAACATTTGAAGGTCATTTAGTGCATGTCCAAGTGAAAGTGGACCACATTTTCTTTTCTTAATTTTTTTTATTTTTATTTTTTATTTGCCAGATAGAGTTATAGACAGTGAGAGAGACAGACAGAGAGAAAGGTCTTCCTTCCTTTGGTTCACTCCCCAAATGGCCGCACAGCCGGCACTGTACCAGTCCAAAGCCAGGAGCCAGGTGCTTCTTCCTGGTCTCCCATGCAGGTGCAGGGACCCAAGCACTTGGGCCATCCTCCACTGCCCTCCCAGGCCACAGCAGAGAGCTGGACTGGAAGAGGAGCAACGGGGACTAGAACCGGTGCCCATATGGGATGACGGCACCATAGGCAGAGGATTAACCAAGTAGGCCATGCCCCCGGCTCCCCTCATTTTCTTGCAAGATGACTTTGAAAGAATGTACAGTTCCTTCAGCAAACCTATAATGACAAAAAGAGCTCCCTAATAGGAAATACCTTTAGTGAGATAAGAATAATTCACACAACAAGTGTTTATCGAGTACCTGCTAGATTCCAGGCACTGCATGACAGGAGTCTGGCCTGAATGATGGAAAAAAAAAAAAAAAAAAAAAAAACAGCCATCACAGTAAAAATCTCTTCAGTAAAATAAATAAAACTCGAGGGAAAATAATTTTAAAGAACAAAAATGGTCCCTCCTCTCTAGGAGTTCAGAATTACTGTTGTGTAATCGCTGGGATGTGATGATATGGAAGCCTCCACAAAACTCAGTGGGACTAGAGGAGCACCCAGTACTGCCCTAGGAAGGCAGAGAACCCTGCCCGGGAGCCAAGTCTTCAGAGCCAGCCCTGGAAGGCTGAATTGAAAGAGCCTAGCAGACAAAGGGGGCAGAGCATGGCGAGAGGGCGAGGGAGTGGAGTAGGAGGAGCCAGAGAGTGGAAGATTTTCTGTGTCAGGAAAAATATTTCAAATTCTGTCCTGTGGACAGGAGGGAGCTGCTGGCAAATTGTGAGCAGATTAGTGACATCATCAGGATTGCACATTTGAAAAATCCCTCTGCCCATGGCCGAAGGAATACGTCGGAAAGATAGAAGACCGGAGGGACAGCAGAGCCAGTATGGTGACACTTGTGATTTCTACAAGAGGGAGAGGGAGGAGTGGAATGGTGGCAGCGCTGCTCCTGTCTCTTATGCACCCCACACGCCCAACTTTTTGGTCTGCCGGGTTTATCTTACTCTACCAACTGGGTGAAACCTGCAGGTCAGGACAGCAGCTGATGTCGCTCAGCCCTTGCACAGAGACGAATAGGCAGTGGCACAGCAGACCACTAAGAGGTTGGTGGTGGCCTGAGCGAGCCATTCCAGAGGAGGGTGACAATGGATGCTCTCCCCCTACCCCTGCAGGGTGAGGAGGCCACAGTGAGGGATGGGCAGTGGGGCCCCGTGCAGCCCATGTACTATCAAGATGCTTGGCAGGGAGTTGAGATACAGGTAGCGTTTAACCAGAAAATGGGACCAAGGGATGGTTTCTTTCTTGTTTCCATAGGAAAGGCAAAAACAGTTGCATGCCTTATGGAATGAGAAACTAGACACAGGACAAGGAAAGAAAGAGGTTTGGAAAGCATACATGCTTTATTTCACAACAGGCATTTCCATGAATTTTTTAAAAAACCCCTGGTATGCATGGATTTTGAGTTTTTGCACCAAAATAAACCTGTGTGTCTTTTAATTCCAGTTTCCCATGAACTTTTTGCAGTACCTTCCTAGGCCTAAGACGATCTAAGTGCATGTATTTACACCGTATGAACTGCAAATAAGTCATCTTCCCATCTGATTTAAGAATCTTAGACATGCCTATAAGACCTCTAGGTCAGGACAATGAATCCCTTCTCATTTAACCTTTCCACCTGGGTCTCCCTGTCAAGAATCCTTTTATGCTTCCTTGTGAATCCCACAGGTTTTCCAAATCGCATTTGAGTTGTGTGCCCAGACAGGACTCAGAGTGAGGGGGCAGCTCCCACTGGCGGGAGATGCTTCCCAGGTGTCGTAGCCTGTGTGGGCCACTGCAACAAGGCAGTGCAGACAGGGTGGCTTATCAGGGACAGACCCTTTGGTCTCTTACTGTTCTAGAGGCTGGGAAGCCCAAGGTCAGGGGGCTCAGTGCCTGGGGAGAGCCTGCTTCCTGCTTCATAGACGGCACCTTTTCACTGCATCTTCACAAGGTGGGAAGGAGGGAGGAAGCTCCCCTGGACGTGTTGTCTAAGGACGCGAACCCCAGCCTGGAAGGCTTTGCCCCATGGCCTAATCACCTCCCCTGAGGCCCCACATTTTAACATCTTCACCTTGGGGTTAGGATTTAATACATCAATGAGAGGGCAGGATACAAACCATTGTACCTGGCAAGGCATATGTTGTCCATGGGGGAAAAAAAATGCGAATTTCCTCAGTGAAGTAAGGCTCCAAAAGGATAAAGTAGAATATTTCCTTTCCTTCCATTATAAAATAACTCTTGACTTTCCAGGAAAGGAAAAACTAACAGTAGTATGGAAGGCATGTGAGAGGGGCTGGAGCTATGGCGTAGTAGGCTAAGCCTCTACCTATGGCACCAGCATCCCATATGGGCACCGGTTGGAGTCCTGGCTGCTCCTCTTCTGATCCAGCTCCCTGCTAATGGCCTGGGAAATCAGTGGAGGATGACCCAAGTGCTTGGGCCCCTGCACCTGTGCGGGAGAACCTGGAAGAAGCTCTGGCTCCTGGCTTCAGATCGACTCAGCTCCAGCTGTTGCGGCCATTTGGGGAGTGAACCAGCAGGTGGAAGACTTCTCTCTCTGTCTCTCCCCTCTCTGTCTGTAACTCTGCCTCTCTAATAAATAAAATCTTAAAATTAAAGAAAGCATGCATTAAAAAAAGAAAAGAAAGGGACATGAGGCCAACTTTTACAAATGAACGCCCACGTCCTGACAATCACTTCCTAAGTAATCTTCCAAAGTACTATTTGGTTTTGCCTCCAGCCCTACTAATAAATCCATGTTTCTTATATTCATCTAAACACAGTGTTCTTTCTTAGCACAGTGACATTTAGGACCAATTAATGTCAGTGCCCAAAATTTTCTTAATACTATCAGATGGCATCTGTAACCCAAACTCAAAGGACTTGTGCTTTATTGTTAATAAACAGACAGAAAACCAGAGCACACCAGAAACTTCTCTGTGCCACAACTTAGCAGGCACAACTCTTGGGCCTCCAGGGTTGAGACAGGGTAGCTGAAAGCAAAGTGGCTTTTGTGTTAAGGCAGAGCTTTTCGGTTGAAATCAGAACAATCGTTCTCCCTCCTGCTTATGGGATGTAAACAGGAAAGCCGTGAAAGGGAAGCAGCCAGTGACTGCCCTTCCCGGGTTGGGGACACACTCCCCTTCATGCCACAGTGTGAGTGAACATTAGTGTCTAAGCATGAGGCATTAGGCCTGTGCTCACGCTCCATGCATGACGTGAAAACCCGCTGCCATTAAGCAGTTATTCTGAGTGTAGTAGGGACCGATTGCGAGTGTTGGTAACAAAAGAACCCCAGTGAGAGCAGGATGAAATAGAGGATTTCAGTGCTGAAGGAGATTAAATAGCCTGAGAATGGCTTTGTATATTAACTTCTGGGAACTCTGGGGTCTCACCACCTGAAGAGTGACACCTGATGCCTCCATTGTAGAGTAATGCATCTCAAGTAAACCACAGATCTCAAGGAGGCGGTCTGGAAGGCGAGAGAAATCACATCAAGCTCCTAACTGTCTTCCTTTCTGGGGCCTGAAATGTCATCTCTGGGCACTTAACACCTTACGTGAATAGCGGATTTAACACTTGAGACAATCGAAGTTTCATAAAGTGATGAGTCCTTGGCCTTGTTGACAAAGCACCCCGTGAGGAGTGACAATGGTGAGCTGAGCTGTCAGCAGCAAAGGCAACAACCTGATTAAAATCGAGTGGTAGCCCAGGATTTCAAGTCTGGTACCTGAGAAGAGAAATCTCTCCCAGATGTTGTCTTTTTCTGGCGGGAATGAGGAGCAGTCGGTGGGAAAAGTGCAGTGAGATGAAGGAAGAGTGTCCCTGGTCATTGATTTCTCTGGTGAGTCAAAGGCTGGACTGATACTGAGAAGAATGACTGTCATCACTGGTTAATATTTAGCAAGTGTAGTGAAGGGTTGGCTTTTTTGACCTCCATGAACAGCAGTGACAGCCATGAACAGAGCTGTCCGTTGTGTTGCACAAAACTCCTATAAAATTGTAAAGGAGCCGTTTTGTTCTGCGTCCACTACAAGGAAGGATGCTCTTGGGGCTATAGATTTGCAGGGCCTTCTTAGCTCCGCCCCCCCCACCCCCCACCCTCACACAGCTCAGTATCTCGCAGGGGAGAAAGGAAGCTTCTCCTTATTATTTATTTTTTGGAGCACTGCAAGGAAAAATTTTAAGTTTAGAAGAGCTCATCAGAGCCTGGGAAATCCTCCAGAAATCTCAAATTTTGAGAAGAGCATACTATAAATCCCAAATTAGAAGCCATTTTTATTTTAAAATATATAATAAGAAATACTGCATGTTACTATTTTAAAGTTAAACTTTCCACTCTGTCATTATAATGCCATTTCATTAGACATAGAACGTCACTTACTAATATACAGGAATAAGCTTAGCGACTGTATCAGAAAAGTGAAATAAAAGCCCAACTACCCCAATAGTGTGATCTTCAGAGCACACTAAAGCGAATGATTTGAGCAGGGGCTTGATTTTTTTTTTTCACTTTAAAATGTTTCTTCTCCAGTAACACCTAACCATAGCTTTTCAAAATTAACGCTGCACAGATACATTCCATAGAGAGGTTTTTTTTTTTTTTAAAGCTATGTGTGTGTTCGTTCAGAAAGGGAGAAGTGAGTTGTAGTTGTGTAACACACAGATGCCTGTGGCCGTCTTGCTGTTCTCAGTAAGCATTTAATCACGCTTTCCAAAGGCCTCTTCACTCTGTGAGCTTCCCTCAAAATGAGGAGCGCTTTATTCCTTGGAAAATATTTCTGAATGGCTATGGCACAATATAATTACATAGTGTGTCTATTCTACCAGGAGTACATTTTGTTGTTAGGAGACTCTGGAAAGCATAAAGACTGTTCTGAAATTGAAATCTTTCCCCAGATGTTTGCTTGCCTAAGGACAGGCTACAGTAAGGAGCGGAAGCCAGACGGCCCCTGCGGCTTCGCAGAGGCCCTCTCACGGCTCAGCCTCCTTTACAAACCCCTGAATAAAACGTCATTTGTTTCCTCTGGTAAAGAGGCCATTTCTGCCTTCTGACCCGCATGGGTGAAGTCTCATCTTCGAACTGTGGTTCATGTTAAACTTGTACTTGGTTGGCAGAGCCAATCGTCGATGTTTTCTGGTTAAGATTTTGTTGCAGTGCTCACTCAGCTAAAATAAGCTTGCCTATGGTTATGTAGATTTGCACTTTCTTTCCATACGTGTCTTAGAGGTCAGGCCCCCGTTCCCTTTCTATACCTATCCTGCCCCAATTGGTAACACTTCCCTTTACAACATTTTAAGTCAGAGACTTATCCTTTTTTCTTTTTTTTAAAGATTTATTTATTTGAAAGACAGTTACAGAGAGAGAGAAAGGGAGAGACAGAGAGAGAGAGAGAGAAAGGGAAAGACAGAGAGAGAGAGAGAGAGAGAGAGAGAGAGAGAGATCTTCCATCTGCCAGTTCATTCCCCAAATGGCCACAATGGCTGGAGCTGGGCCTATGCGAATCCAGGAGCCAGGGGCTTCTTCTGGGTCTCTCATGTGGGTGTGGGGGCCCAACCACTTGGGCCATCTTCTACTGATTTTCCCAGGCCATTCACAGGGAGCTGGATCAGAAGTGGAGCAGCCAGGACTCGAACTGATGCTCAAATGGGATACTGGTGTTGCAGGCATTGGCTTTACTCACTATGCCACAGCGTCAGCCCCGAGACTTATCCTTGGTATGAAGCAATTCTAAGTGCTCCATGTCTCTGGCACATGGTCTAAAATTTCCAAGAGGATCCTCTTAGCTATTCAGTCTCCAATTGCTTGAAATTAGGAAATGACCCCTCTGTGGCCTTTGTCTACTGGATATCACTCAGCTCCAAACTCCACGGTCAACCTTTCTTGAAGTCTCAACCCCCAGTTTGAAAAACACTAACTTAAAATTTATGAAGAGTGTCAGCCTTATCATTGTATACTAACCCAAAATATATTTTTAGAATTACCAGGAAAACTGTTCTGAATATGAGAGTACAAAAGGTCAATCTTCTGAAATAGTGAACAACCAGCAACCTTCTAGAAGACCAGCCAATGCCAAGACTGGAAAACAGCATGGCCACCAGAATGGCCTGAAGTCTTTCATGACCGAAGAGGTCACCATCGGTCAAGGAAACGAGAATAACACCTCCAGACAGCAGCAGAACCTAAATCAGCCTGTTGATGCTTTCATTAGCCACCAATCAGTTGTGCTTGTGAACACCTCCAATGATAATTTACAAGGATCAAGTGCACTTAGGAGACAGAATCCCAAAGTAACCTCCACTACATCTGCCCCAGCAAACCAGGCTTTTGCCAAGGTGTTGTCTAAGAACTCTACTAGCTATCCCCCAGTGCTGAATGTGAAAAAAGAAAGAGGACACAGAGACCAAAAAGAGAAAAGACTGTCACATCAGCAGCCGCATCTCAGCACCCTTTCTAATATGGACTTGAACAACCTCGATGAATTTTCCAAGACACGTGTGCACCCCACCCAGAGAGGCCCTCAGTTTGTTTATAACATAAATGATCATGGATTCACCAAAAATAACAAGCAACCCAAACAGCCATATACAGAGACAAGATATAGGAACTTGGAAATATTATGGTAAGAATTCTCTTTTTTCAAATGGTTTTTAGAGAAGTGGGAGACTGCCGGAGTTACCTGGAGAGGAAGAAGGGGCAGATGAGTCCCTGGAGATAGTTAGTTGAAAGAGGTTATCCACTTAACAACTTCCTGGCTCCAGTTCCTGCAAAATATAGTCCACTTTTGATGCATTTTCTTTCTACTTTTTTGCCTTTCTCTACTTTTTCTACTGTAGTTAGACTAGAAAATAAGAGGGAATGAGGAAAGACATAGGGACCCAATCTAAAAAAAAATTCAGTATGTGTTTAAGGTTGCGTCTTAGGTTTTAGAGGAAACCTATCCAAAGAAAATAATCTAAAATGTAGGAAAATATGATGCACCCAAATATCATTATTCATAGAAACGACCTAAAAAGCCAGCCATAGGGAAATGTTTAGATAAGTTATGATATTTAATATCATGTGAACACTAAAATTATTACTATGAGGAGATCCTTTTTTTTTTAAGATTTATTTATTTACTTGAAAGGCAGAGTTACAGAGAGGCAGAGAGAAAAATCTTCCACCTGCTGGTTCACTCCCCAAATGGCAGCAATGGCCTGAGCTGGGCTGATTCAAAGCCAGGAGCTTCTTCCAGGTCTCCCACACCAGGGTAGGGGCCCATGGACTAAGGTCATCTTCCACTGCTTTCCCAGTTGCATTAGCAGGGAGCTGGATCAGAAGTAGAAGAGCCAGGACTTGAACCAGTGCCCAAAAGGGATATGGGCACTGCAGGTGGTGGCTTTACCTGCTATGCCACAACACCAGCGCAGATTACACTTTCTTTTACCAAAAAAAAAAAAAAAAGTTTGATTATTCTCATCTACTTGAAAGAGAAAGAGAGAGGTCTTCCATCCTCTGGTTCACTCCCCAGATACCCACTACTACAAAGACTGGGCCAGGCCATGAAGTCAGGAACCCAGAACTCCATTTTGGTCTCCCATATGGGTTTTAATGGGGCCCAAGGACCTGGGCCATTCTCTGCTGCTTTCCCAGGTGCATTAACAGGGAGCTGGATCAGAAGTGGAGCAGCCAGGACTCAAACTGGCACCCATATGGGGATGCCGGTGCAACAGGTCATGGCTTTAACCACAGCTCCGGCCCCCAAACATATTTTGTATACACCTGACATATGCTGGCTATAATGCTAAAATACTACAGAAAACACCAAAGAAGTATGGTTCATGGGGCTCCCTAAAGTAGAGGGAAAATTTTACACATATGAGGGTACTTCAAAAAGTTCATGGAAAATGGACTTAAACCTAAGTTTAATTTCATGCAAAACCTTTTTGAAATTTTATATACAAAGGATCTTCAAAAGGGTCATGGAAGACATAATATTATGAAAAATACGTGCATGGATTTCAAAATTTTTGCAGCAACATAAACTTATCCTTTAATTCCATTTTCCATGAATGTTTTGCAGTACTTTGCTATGAATTGATCAGAAGACATTTAAGTGCTACACATGTTGGCATAGAGGGTTCAGAGTTAGCTTCCTGGAAAAGATAGTGAAAAACTGTAAGCACCATGTCTTTTTTTCTCACTCTAGAGGGGTTGATTCTAACATGTTTACCATTAAAATCATGTTTAATTTCTGTTGTATAAAGAAATAGGGAATTACTTCCTATTCCTGTTTGTCTTTGGAAAGAATTTTGTCATAAATTGGTATTTAACTTTGTCAAATTTTTGTCCATTCTTTAATGAGATAAAATACATTAATAGATTTTTTAATGTTATACTCTCCTTTCATTCCTAGGTTAGCACAACTCGTCATAGTATTCTTCTGCTAAATTGCTTGAGTGGATTTTGTAGCATTTTATTTTGTATTTAATGTTCACATGCATGACATGAAATTGGCTTATCATTTGCCTATCTGCCACTGGCCTTGTCTGGATATGCTATCAAGATCATACCAGCCTTCTAAAATGAGTTGAGGACTTTCTCTCTTCTTGAGTCCTCTGGAACACTTTATTTACAGTTGGAATTAGCTTGCTATTTAAAGACTTGATAGAATTTTCCTGTAAAGCTGTTTTGGCCGTGTATGTTTTATTTATTTTTTAAAGAATTATTTATTTATTTGAAAGAAAGAGTTACAGAGAGTATAGGAGAGAAAGTCAGAGACAGAGATGTTCCATCTCCTGGTTCACTCCTCAGATAACCACAACTGGCTTGATCAGGCTGAAGCCAGAAGCTTCTTCCGGGTCTTGGGTGGCAGGGACCCAAGCACTTGGGCCATCTTCTACTGCTTTCCCAGGTGCATTAGCAGGGAGCTAGATAGGAAGTGGAGCAGCCAGGACTTGAACCAGCACCCATATGGGATGCCAGCACAACAGGAGGCAGATTTACTTGCTGTGCCACAGCTCTGCTCCCTCATTTATGTTTTTTGTTGGGCTTTGTTTTTTGTTGGGAGATTTTAAACTCACGATTCATTTACTATAATGATTATAAATCTTCCCAATCTTTCTACTTCCTCCTCAGTCAATTTGATAAAATTAATCTTTTTCTAAATAAGAGTTCCATTTTTGATCAGTTTAGACTGTACTATCATAAAACTTTTTATAGTATTTACCTAAATTGCACATTATTTAATTTCTACTATATCTGCCATCATGTTCTTCCTTTCATTTCTAATATTTTTGTCCTTTTTCATTTTATAAAAAAAAATTTATTAATTCATTTGTTTGAGAGGCAGAAAGAGAGAAAGACGCACAGACAGAGCTCTCATCCACTGGTTCACTGTTCACATGCCCACAGTGGCCGCAGTTGGGTCAAGGCAGAAGCCCAGGGTGGGGAACTCAATCCAGGTCTCTCCCATGCAGGTTGCAGGAGCCCGATTACGTGAGCCTTCCCGCTGCCTCCTATCAGGAAGCACTCTGATGTGAGACATTGGCATCCTAGCAGGCATCTTGACCAAATGCCCATCCCTTCTTTCTTATTTTTTTAAATTAATCTCTCAACCAAAGGTTAATTTATCTCATTCCCTCTGCCTGTCGAATAAGATTTTTTCAAACTTTTTTTTATATTTGTATCATATATTTCTCCCCCCACAGAAACCTTTTATTTAAGGAATACAAACTTTCATAAGTACAACTTTAGGAGCATAGTGATTCTTCCAACTATACAGTGGGAAGATTTTTTTTAATGCTAAGAATTTTTAAATAGGGGCTGGGCACTGTGGCGCAGCAGGTTAACACCCTGGCCTGAAGCGCCGGCACCCCGTACGGGTGCCGGTTCAATTCCTGGCTGCTCCACACCCAATCCAGCTCTCTGCTATGGCCTGGAAAAGCAGTAGAAGATGGCCCAAGTGCTTGGGCCCCTGCACCCATGTGGGAAACCCAGAAGAATCTCCTGGCTCCTGGCTTCGGATCAGCACAGCTCTGGCCGTTGCAGTCAATTGAGAAGTGAACCATCGGATGGAAGACCTCTCTCTCTCTCTTTCTCTCTGCCTCTCCTCTCTCTGTGTAACTCTGACTTTCAAATAAATAAATCTTTAAAAAAAAATTGACTGTCAGCAACTGCTTTTCACTTTTTAAAAATCTTCTCCTATGGCACTTTCCACAATCTTAGTTATACTTACTGCTGTGTTTTGCTGCAATAATCTTAGATGTTTCTGGTGACTGCCCCTTCGAGTAGGTGAAAATTTGGCTTCTTGTATCACCATACTTCCCCTCACGTATCCTCCAAAATGAGCTATGACACAATTTGGAGTGAGGCAAATATTCAGGGTGTTTTTTTATTCCAGCACATTTATAATTCACATCCTATTATTATGTTTCATTTTTATTTTTTCTTTTTCTAAAAATATTTATCTTATTTATTTGAAAGGCAGAGTAACAGAGAGAGGGAAAGACAGAGATCTTCCATCCGCTGGTTCACTCCCCAAAATGGTCACAGCAGCAGGAGCTGGGCCAATTCCAAGCCAGGAGCCAGGAGCTTCAGGGTCTCCCATGCGGATGCAGGGCCCAAGCACTTGGGCCATTTTCTACTGCTTTCCCAGGCCATAGCAGAGAGCTGGATCGAAAGTGGAGCAGATGGGATTCCAACCAGCACCCATATGGGATACCAGTGCTGCAGACGGTGGCTTTACCAGTTATGCCATAAAGCCAGCCCCAACTTTTATTTTTTCTAAAACTTAGGAATTGTCTTGACCTTTTTCTTTTACCTATGTCTCTGTGTGTGGCCAGTGAGTCCCACCCTTTCAGCAGCGGCTCAGTACACACCTCCCCAGGGGCTAGTGTCAGGCTTGGTTCATCCTGGGGGCTCCCTTCGCTCTTCTCCCTCTCTCACCCTCCTGTCCTTTCCACCCCCGTCTCTCTCTCTCTCTCTCTCTCTCTCTCTCTCTCTCTCTCTCTGGCAGAGAGCATCCTCCCCTGCTCATGAGGTGATGTTTTCAGACCTTACATGGCTGGAATTCCCTTACTCTGCCCTCAGCCCTGACGGAGAACGTGGCAGAGGTTTAGAGAATTCTGGACTGGAAACCATTTTCCCTCGGAACTGTCTTCCTGCTCCCGGAGTTGGTCATTTATATAATTTATACCTGACTTGTTTTTTTGTTTTTTTTTGTTTTTTTTGCCTATGGAAGCTATAAGGTTGTCTCCTTTTTTAAAGATTTTATTTACTTACTTACTTAATTAATTATTTGAGAGGTAGAGTTACAGACAGAAGGAGAGACAGAGAGAAAGGTCTTCTATCCACTGGTTACTCCCTAAGTGGCCACAACGGTCAGAGCTGGGCTGATCAAAAGCCAGGAGCCAGGAGCCTGGAGCTTCTTCCAGGTCTTCCATATGGGTACAAGGGCCCAAGAACTTCAGCCTTCTTCCACTGTTTTCTCAGGCCACAGCAGAGAGCCGGGTTGGAAGAGAGGCAGCAGGGACAAAAACCAGGGCCCATATGGGATGCTAGCACCCCAGTTGGTGGCTTAGCCTCCTACACCAGGGCACCAGCCCCTAGGATATTCTCTTTTTCTCCAATGAAGTGAAA